TGGTGTGGTGTCGTCAGGTTTCAGAGATAAAATGGCCGCCAAAGATGAGTTATTTCCGAAGCTTGAGAGTCCGTGGAAACTGAAAAATTATATTCTTTGTGTCTTTAATCAAAGTTTTTTAAAAGTAAAAACCACACAGAAATGTGTTCTATAGTGGGCATGAAAGATGTTGAGCCAAAAAACAAAAATTCAATAAAAATTCACAAACCTGCAGAAAAATGCCAGTTTATTCACACTTTGAACGTTGGTTACTTTAACGAGAGCCTGATTTCACCACGCTGCTCACAAATTATCTTCAGCTAAAACTTGGACACTTCGTTCTTGACATTAGGCAGATTTTCATTCTTAAAACAAATTCTCAGGCATGTAAATTATAAACACAAATAAAATATGTTAACCTTTCACCTTAACATTGGCTGATATCAGGCTTGCGAGGCATTAAAAAACTACTTGACTGAATACCTGGGTGGACCATGCAGATTCCTCCTTCAATCCCTCCTCCCTCCCCCCATGATTGAAATGCACCAAGTCCAAGAGGAATCAATTCATTCAAATTTAGTCATATTTTATAAATGATTCTCCTTCCCACTTCCATTATATTGTTACTTAAAGGAAACTAAGAAGTTTTCGTGTTGATAATGGGATTATGTTCCTTTTATATCATTCTATGATTGAAAGTGTACCATCATTTTGTATTCGCTGCTGGGGTGGGAATTGTAGGGTGAAAGATAGAGAAAAATTTGACAGAACCATTAAGAAAGCCTGCAAGATCTGTGGATATGATTTTACTAGAATTTATCAAATGTATAACACCAAAAGTATAAAAAAGATAAAAAGCATTATAAACGACCCATCACACCCCTTTTCCACGCAAATTGTCAGATTACGCAGCGGCAGATATACCTCTAAAAACAAAGAAAGAAAGATATCTAGCATAAGGCTATTGTCAGATTAAGCATCAGTGAGTATTGCTCTTTCAAGTATTAATCAGCGTCCTTCCACCAGCTGAAGCTGAAAAGTAAGGAAAATTCTGCCGGGGTCCGCATAGGCCCCCCAGCAGGGTCCAGGGGGTTCACGGGGCCAACCCCTGGAACAAATTGAAATTTAGTGCTTTTAGAGGGTTAAAAATGGCATTTGGGAGCCTGTTTGATTCTTTGAAGAGATTGCCTAAAACCCACAACATTTGTTCGCCAACGTTTTGTTTTGCTTGATTTCTTTCTCTCCTACATTATATCTTTCCATTGCTGGCAATGTTTAAAAGCAGGAAAACCCGCGATGTAGTCATCGGTGACCTATTTGGTTATAGGCAGCCAATCACATGCCGCCTAGCGATCATGCGCCTCTTGCATGCCGGCACCTCGCGTTTGGAATGCGTGATCTAGTTTCCAGATCTAGTGTTTTATCAATGGATGGGTGGTAATTTTAAGTTGGTACGTAAAATCTACTAAACGCAGAGATCTGAAATTTTACAGTAGCAATAAAGAAGACATGTGGGGCGCGATCAACCCGCAGCTCCGCTTAGTTTTTGAACCGCAGAGCAAATTCGCACAAACACGGCAATATCTCCGGTTCTAGTAATCGTTCGGGATTGTACGTAGTCTAAACAGCCGTATGCACTGCTCACCGTCGAACGCTCCGTATCCCGGACTCTAGCATGGAGATCATCAGGAGAGAATGCGTCGCTGTTTCGGGCTCTTCCTCTCTACAGCTTTTCTGACGCACCGAGCCCCCTCACCGATGTGAGGTCTCCATGTTAGTTCGACTGTTTTCCTCTGCTGCCAACTTTAGGATTCATTCCAGCTTGAGTCCTCTCGCTTCAACCAGATCCAATGACTGGCTTTCTCTGCTGTCTCCTGAAGGGAGTTTGTGAGTTCGTTGCTTTTCTTTGCAGTAAGTCCTGCCACTCTCATCCACTTACGGGCGCTTGTTGCTACAAAACCTCTGCATCCTACCTCTACCGGAAAATGGGTTGCCTTCCATCCTGCCTCCTCACATTGTTCGACGAGTGCCTCGTAACGGTTTTCTTTCCGCTCATGAGCAGCATAGATATTGTCCTCGTGGGGCACCGTGAGCTCTACCAAGTGTACCTCTTTGTCTTTTTCCTCCCATAACACAATGTCTGGCTTTTTCGTAGTTGGAATGGGGAAGAATCTCTTAAAGCCTTTTAAGTCAGCAGCTACTTCCCATGTGCCTCCGCTCTGGTCTTTCATGGCTTCGTTCGCTTTCTTTCTTTTGGCAACCTTGCTTCCTTGCGGAATGAACGCAATCTTGGTGGGTCCATGCTTCTGTATCTTGGGGGCATATTTTCCTTCTTCCACCTGTTGTGTCGCCATTTTCGTGAGCACTTTCAACACCTCGTTGTGCCTCCAGGTGTATCTGTTAAGAGCTAGGTTGCAGTTTGACAAAATATGCTTCATGGTTCCTAGCTTACCGCATCTACACTTGTTGTCCTCCTGTACCTTCCATCTGACAAGGTTCACCGGTGAAGGCAGAACATCATACGTAGACCGGAGAAGAAAGCTCAGCCTTGATGTATTCCACTTCCAGATGTCACTCCACCCGACTTTTCTTTCCACTACATGCTCTTCCCATCTGGTCATTTGTCCTTGCTGGCTACACTGGATGAGATGAATTTCTCGCCTCTCTGCCTCCATCTTTTGCATATGTCTTGTTGCAGCTTTTCTTCTGTCTCGCTGAGACATTTTCCTGAAAGGTCTAAAGTCGCCATTACCTAGCCCTAATCTGTCAGGTTGCGCTGGACCGACAATGTCCCCATGCTCCAATGCAGAGATGATCTCGTTAGCTGCAACTTCTACCTTCCACTTTCTGGCTGTTTTGACATCTGGAGGTTTTCCACTGATCTCCTTACCCCTTGATTCTCTCAACATCAAAACGGTTCTAATCTTGCCTGCTTTGTAGATCTCCACGATTGACGTGAGAGGTAGTTGAAGCGCACCTCTATGTCTGTACAGGGATGACGTGTTCATGGTACGGGGTAGCCCCAGCCACTTCCTGATGTAGCTGTTACACTTTCTTTCGATCATCTCAACTCTTGACAAAGCAACTTCATACATTGTCAGTGGCCACGCCAATCGAGGGTAGAGGGCAAACTGTAGACACCATATCTTGTGCTTTCCTGGAAGCTTTGTCTGGTCAATTGCTTTCAGCCCATTTTCAGCCTGCTTCATGATTTCCACGCCTTGACTCCTATCAGACAGGGTTCCTGAGTACCACCGACCCAAACTTTTCACGGGTTGTTCTTTTACTGTGGGCATTTGCTCCCCTGCAATTGTGAACTTCAGTTGCTTCTGTTTTCCTTTGTTAATAGTCAGGCTTCTAGACTTTTTAGCTTTAAACTTCATCCTGGCCCAGGTGATAAGCTTATCGAGCCGATTCAACACACTTCGCATTGTGTCTCCATCTCTTGTCAGTAGGGTCACATCATCCATAAAGGCTTTCTTTGGTGATCTCACCTTTGCTTCTTCTTCACAGCATTCTGCAGATCTCAGTAGCATCTCCATTACCAGGATGAACCAGATGACCGATATAGAGCAGCCAGCTGCAATCCCAATCTCTAGTCGGTGCCATTCCGTTGTGAAATTTGCGGTTGAGAATCGCATCTGGAAGTTACTATAGTATTCTCTCATAATGTTTTGCACCTCTTGTGGGACGTAGAAAAAATCCATTGCCTTCATCAGCAATTTATGGGGAACAGACCCGTAGGCATTCGCCAGATCCAACCACACTACGTTTAAACTTTCCTTGTTTTTCTTGGCCTCTTGGATTGTGTCCCAAATGGTGAAAGCGTGCTCGATGCAGCCTGGGATCCCTGGTACCCCGGCTTTCTGTACCGTTTCATCCACATAGCCGTTACTTTGCAAATATGCTACAGTCCTCTTTGCAAGTATTCCCATAAAGATCTTGCACGTCACGTTGATGATTGAAATAGGTCTGAACTGTCCTATCTCCTTTGCATTCTGTTCTTTGGGTAGATACACGCCCTCCGCTCTGCACCAATCTTTGACGATTTCTTTGTCTTTCCAAAGGCCTCTTAGCAACTCAAAGAGGGTGTGTCTCAGCGTGTCGCAATACTTGAACACCTTATAAGACACGCCATCTCCTCCAGGTGCACTTTTTGCTCTTGCTTTTTTTACGAACTCATCTACTTCTTTCTCTCTAATTGGTCCCAGGTAATATTTGACGACGGGGGCAGCTGGACGCTTCAGGCCTCTCATATAAGGAAGCGGTTCTTCTCTTCTTGAATCGCTGTGCGTCTGCTTAACATAAGCATCAAGTTCTTCTTTCGTACATTCCAATTTACCACTCCGTGCCTCTGTGAACAGTTTTTTGGCTGCTTCATAAGGATTCTTCAGAAATTGTTCACGTTCCCCTTTTCTCTCTTTTCTCCTGGTACACCTTCTTTCGTGCCTCTGTAGGTCTCTGCTCTTTTTCTTAAGATCTTCAAACAAGATTCTTAGGCCTTCTATCTCTTCTGGTGGTGCGTACTTTTTCTGCTTTTGCAAGTCTCGTTTCTGTTTTCTTAGCTGTGCAAGTACTCTCTGCCTTCTACTCAATCCACTTTTCTTCTCCGTCTTTTTCTTTCCTTCACAAATACCAAACTCTTTTATTGCCGAGTCATAGATAATGGTCGCAAACGCACTCAATATTTCTTTAGCATCCCCTCTGTTAGAACTCTTTTTGACTTCTTTCAATTTCTTCTGGACTTCTTCTTCTAACGTCTTGTATTTTGCCTTCTTGTTAGCAGCAGGCCACAGTATTCTGGGTTTCCGTAACCCTGGTTCCGTTTGCTGTTCCATCTCTTGCTGAGACAGGGTGAAAGGAGAGTCGACTGAAGCACTAATCGCTCCGCTGTGGTTTTCATCCTGGGATGATTTGCTTCGCGTCTTACAATCTGACGATCTGCACTGTCTTCTCTTCTTTAAACAGACTTTTCCCTGGTGCACTCTCAGCCCTCGCCAGGTATCGAACTTTCTGTAGCACTGCTCGCACATAAAGCTGTTCTCTAGATTCTCTTTCTGCATTGTCCTTTTAACGCTTAGGTCATTGTCCATTGAATCCGTCCTTGTGGATCCATCCTCTACTCCCCCCTCTCGGTGGATCCCGGGGCTGTCTTTTCTATTGGTTGACGTAACTTATATTTACAGTGACCTGGGTAGTTAGCCCCTGCCACCGTCGGTCTTTCCCGACGTCCTCGGTCTTTCCCGATGTCCACCCGTCACTCCGGGCACGACTGGCATGTCGTTAGTTTAACCTTTCCTCTGGTTGGTTGCCGAGTTTAATTTATTTTCGTCCAGGAGTTTTCCCGTAACTATACTTAGAAGAGAGTCACTTCTGATTCCGAGCGGCCCAAAAATTACCCCTCGGGTGGAGGTCGATTTCCGGCCAATATAAAAATATGAAGGTGGGGGGGTTCAGGGGGGCATGCCCCCCTGAATTTTATCCTAATTTGATGTTTTGCAGTTAGGGTACATCCCTGCTCTTTGTGTAGCCTAATTCAAATAGTATTTGGTCTTCAAGACTTCTGGATTTCATCTCTGGACTCTGGATGTAAACAAATGGATCGTGGACTTAAACGAACGGAACTACAAGACACAAGATTACCATGATGATGACATCATTGATGTTGTCTACTAGATCTACATCTAGATCTAGAATGGCACGGGAGCTATTCAGAACACGGCGTTGCAAATAGCACGGGAGCTATTCAGAACGCGGCGTTGCAAATAGCGCTTGCCTTTATGCCTTATAATTAGCCTCCTAACTTATAGCAGCCTAGATTCTAGTGTAGTCACTAGGCTCGGCTAGGCCCAGGTTGTTGGAGCCATGGGTAGTCTTTAGAGTTGGTATAAGAAGCGTTATCAATCTAGATATACTTCATACTTTTATAAGGGGGATTCTTTTAAGGCATACTAACCTTCAGGCCTGAACTCAAATTCAAGAAACTCATGGCCGAACTTTCCCTTGTGTCCAACGTAATACCGCAAGTAAAAATCTGTGGAAGCTGCCATTTTGAAATGAAAGCTCAACAATAAACTGAGCAATTATTCTCGTACAAAAAAAATCAAGCCACATAATTGTATGATTTAGATCTAGATCTAGCACTAATTATCGCACATCTTGATCATGATATCTTTCTTCGAAGCATCAAAGTTAGATCAAGTTCAGATACGAAAGTAAAAGGCCCATATTGTGCACAATAATTCACGAGTTACACCCCTTCTTTTATCTCTGTTGACTTGTGTCCATTGTCCACTTCGAGCTTCCTGCCAGGCTACTTCCAACATTTATTGCTTAGCCCAGGCTACATCGTTGTGTTGGTCTTAGGCTGCGTCAATTCAATAACAAGAAAATTCAAGCTTCAGCTGTCAGTGCGGACAGGTGCAGACTCTGCTGTTCCCGAGAAGGGCACTTTGCTGTTAGATGGTTTACCTCTTAATCTTAGTCTTCAACTTCAGCAAGGAAGGCAAGTAGAATCACATAGAGAGTCTGAGAGATCTAAATCTAGATCTAGATCTAGATCTAGTCTAGATCTAGATCTAGGTCTCTAGATCTAGATCTAATCTAGCCAGATTATAGGACTAGATCTATGCCATTAAACGTAGATCTAGAAGACGCATCTTTCTGATTGTTGGCTGCTAATTTTAGTAATGTGATGTCATCTGGGATACCTACCTACTATTGAAGGCCGTGCCGTGGCGGTACCGCACGATTATGATAGAATGACGTGTTTCCGGTACCGTATGTTAATAACATTTCAGAATTCCAGTATTGACACCGTTCGAATATCAACAATTTCCTTCATTGAGACATTGAAGGGTTTGAGCTTCCTAATTTTCTGGCTTACTGCGTCTATTGAATTCATTCTTTGACTGAACGTTTCCTCTAGATCTATATTCTAGATCAAGATCTACCGTTACTACCGTATTTCTTGTCCTGCGTCTGTGCCGAGATGCTAATCTTATTAGCAACTGATTACATCGGACGTCCCGGGCAGGCCGCCGGGGTCACTCAGTGTGTACTGTTGGTGTACAGCGCGCGTGCCGGGAAACGTGTGTTTTCGCCATGAATACCGTGGGAGTGTGTTAAGCGATGATGAAAATAACGCTCTATCTTTCATAGCTTTCTATTTATAAAGTGTTACAAACACATGAATAACCCCCTCTCACAAGCTGATAAGACTTTACGAGTAGTTACGCCCATTCGAATAACCTTTCTGGACGCTCTTGTTGTTATGAATGACCTGGGGTTCCAAAGGGGATAATATAGGTCAATTTCCGAATGTTCTACGCTCAAATTGTTCTTTGTACCTGCACGATGGTATTCAAAACTATCAAACAAGCTTATTTTTTTTCAGGTAGTATCATTTCATACAAAATCAAGCTCATTTGAAAGATTTTGTATAGAAAAATGGAAGTCTTGTTTCCTGACTATCCTTTCGAGTTCCTCATGGCTAAGGGGGTCAATTTCTTCTATAAAATTTCATTGGACGAACATCTAGAGCTACCAACTTGGCATGTTTTGAATGAGACATATGCCTTGATTACGAACCAACGCAGGCAGTTCTAGAAGAAGGCCAGAATCGCACACAAACTCAAGCAGACTGACGCACACACACTTGACCTGCGTGAATGGGGATCCGACTCGGGCCCCAAATGACACGTAAGATGATTCGTGCTGCGCCTGCGCTGAGCCAGGGGCTACACTGATTCGGGACCAGAACGTAGGCGAGGTGCCGAAATAGGCTTATTGGGCGACATAAACCCAGCTCCCGCAGGACGAGGGTTAAAGAGACTATTCATCATCGGAGCACCGCATCATTATATCACATTACTCGTATTCCTGAAAAAACATCGCACCAAAGCGTCGTGCCATCCCGTTGGCTATTTTTAATTTACATATATAGACTCTAGATCTAGTCACATGATCGGAGGGGTGGTCCGGTCTGACGTCACACAAAATGGCCGCCTTACCTAAAAGTAGTTTGCGTCCTTCTACGTTTAATCGCATATGTAGTAGAATCTAAATCTAGATATTCTAGATCTAGATTATCTAGGTAGAATGACGCATCTTCCTGATTGGCTGCTAATTTTAGTAATGTGATGTCATCACTTCCTGGGATTTCCTCCTGGGATACCCACAAACTATTTTTTAAGGCCGTGGGGTTACCAAAGATTCTCTACTGCACTACACACTAGATCTACACGTTCTTTGGAGATACTGCATGGTCATGGAACGACATGATGTTGGGTCAGTGGCTTGACCTATTATCTGTATCGATGTGTTTCACACAGTAAAATTTCACACTTGCGGCTAACTGCAGCGCGTCAGCCGTGCTCTGGTGATAGAAGATTGCTTAGGTTGTTGATGCTCAGAACCGTAAGAACTCTGTGATGCTTGTAATTGAAAGACAGTAAGTAAACGCAAAGACAATAAAGATAATAAAGCGCGCTAAAATTGCCGTAAATACGCCCGAAGACCCCCCACCCCCCGTGCCTGATAAACAATGTGGAGAAGAGATAAGCAGTAACATCATCGGAGCATTGCATCATATCACGTTACCGGTACGTCTCCTGGAAGAATATCGCACCAAACGTCGTGCCAAGGTAGGTAGTATACACGATCCGTGCTGCCATGGGGCTGGCTATGTTTAGATCATCATGTAGTCACGTGATCGGAGGGATATATCCCGGTCTGACGTCACACAAGATGGCCATCTTACCTAAAAAATAGTTTGCGTCGCTCTACGTTTAGTCACATGTGTGTAGTAGCCAGGACTAACCTAGAATGTAGATCTAGTCTAATTTAATATCCCTCCCTCCCTCCCTCCCTCCCCCTCTCTCTCTCTCTCTCTCTCGTATCCCTTTTCAGTCCGGGCGGCTGACTGGAAATCACTCATGATCATCGGTTGATCTAGGCTTCAGCGTTTTAATTAGCAGGGGGGCTTTTCAACATGCTGCATTTTATTTAGCACTGGGGCTAATCGCAACGTGGTGTTTCAAATAGACAGCCACCGTCTTGAGTCTGAGCTTGAGCATCCTAAATCCATGGCCTTGCACTTTGAATCTGTTGAATCGTTGTTATGAATCCCAGTTGCAGTTTTCCGAATATAAATACATTTGAAAATACAGTCCCCACGAGCAAGGCTTGGAGGAAAGAAGTGTTGGTGTAGTTTGTGGCTGTGGATTAGTAGACAGGTGGGGGATGACTTACTGGAAGCATGTGGCTGTGTATTAGTAGACAGGTGGCGGATGACTTACTGGAAGCGTGTGGCTGTGTATCAGTAGACAGGTGGCGGATGACTTACTGGAAGCATGTGGCTGTGTATTAGTAGACAGGTGGCGGATGACTTACTCAGCATTTGGCTGTGGATTAGTAGACAGGTGGCGGATGACTTACTGGAAGCATGTGGCTGTGGATTAGTAGACAGGTTACGGATGACTTACTCAGCATGTGGCTGTGGATTAGTAGACAGGTGACGGATGACTTACTCAGCATGTGGCTGTGGATTAGTAGACAGGTGACGGATGACTTACTCAGCATGTGGCTGTGGATTAGTAGACAGGTGGCGGATGACTTACTGGAAGCATGTGGCTGTGGATTAGTAGACAGGTTACGGATGACTTACTCAGCATGTGGCTGTGGATTAGTAGACAGGTGACGGATGACTTACTCAGCATGTGGCTGTGGATTAGTAGACAGGTGGCGGATGACTTACTGGAAGCATGTGGCTGTGTATCAGTAGACAGGTGACGGATGACTTACTCGAAGCATTATCATAATGTACAAAAGACACAAGATGGGAAATGGGAAGTGGCTGGCTGTTTGTACAGGACAAGTGATTTTCGTATATACGGGTGGCTGTTAGAGCTCATTTCACTGTTGTCCTGATGTTGTACTGTTGAGTTGAGCCATGAGCTCATCATTTGGCCTTCACATTCTATTGATTGATGCCAGAATCTACCAGTCTAAATTAGTTAGGGATTTATTATAATACTTCTGACATTGAAAGTTAATTTGACTGAGAAACAAATTGTTGAAAAAAACGTTATATTAAAGTCAGTTTTGCAGTATGTGGGCTTATCGTCTCACGACTTTTGAGTTTTGCTGTTCTACGTTGTTTCCAGGGCAAGATGTCTAAGACAGATGACTTTGTTTTGGATGATGAAGAGGACAACTTTGACCACCTCCAAGCCCCAGATGTTGCAGCAATAGTGTCTTCACCAACCACTGACACTTTAGATTCTGTGGCACTAGAGCCGTCTCCTTCAGATGACAATGATAAAGTAAGTTGATTCATTATAAACTAGCTAATAACTTTTCTGGTTTATTTTAGTTTAGATACACATTCTCTGGAAATTGCCTCTCATGGTTTAATGTAATTCAAAAGTCTTAGTGTTTTGCAAGATCTGAGAGTTGAGTAAAAGCTCCATGTAATACTAGTGTAGTAAGGAAATGTGATACGGTTGAGCAATGATTATGATACCTTCTGTATGGTAGAGTCAACATTTTTCACATTTTTTGTGCCATATATATTGTATTGTCTTCTCAACTTGAAAATTAGAAAAAGAAACACTCTCATAACAGATTATGGTACAAAAAGCACTGACTTTCTGAACATTTTTCTGGACGACAACATCATATAGGCCAACTTTCTGAGATGTCTATAGCTTCATAAAAAGTTGGCATACTGTCTTTTAGTGATAATTTACTAGAGCTTTTATCTCTTTCGAGGAACTCAAACCTCTTAATACTCCTAAACATATCTTAGCACTTGGAGCAGGTTTTGTTTTTTGTCTTTGCAAAGTCATAGCACTGCTTTGCATGACAATTGTATAATTTGTCACCACAGCCAACCGCTTGATATGCTCAGTACCTGTGTATTTCTCTGATTGAGACGCTCTATTACTCAGTACCTGTGTATTTCTCTGATTGAGACTCTCTATTACTCAGTACCTGTGTATTTCTCTGATTGAGACTCTCTATTACTCAGTACCTGTGTATTTCTCTGATTGAGACGCTCTATTACTCAGTACCTGTGTATTTCTCTGATTGAGACGCTCTATTACTCAGTACCTGTGTATTTCTCTGATTGAGACGCTCTATCACTCAGTACCTGTGTATTTCTCTGATTGAGACGCTCTATTACTCAGTACCTGTGTATTTCTCTGATTGAGACTCTCTATTACTCAGTACCTGTGTATTTCTCTGATTGAGACTCTCTATTACTCAGTACCTGTGTATTTCTCTGATTGAGACGCTCTATTACTCAGTACCTGTGTATTTCTCTGATTGAGACTCTCTATTACTCAGTACCTGTGTATTTCTTTGATTGAGACTCTCTATCACACAGAAATAAGAAGTGATAAAAATGTTTAGATCCAAACGTAGAACTTACAATACCATGTCTTTATGAAATGATGTGATGGTATTGAGAATCCTGGGCAGACTTTTGTGTGTGAGAGAATGCCTATTCATTACCTGATTGTCATTTGAAGAACTTGGCCCAAGTAAAAATGCATAAGAAAGCTGTAGGCCCAGTTTACGGCCCGCTGCTGCTGTATCTGAGATGAGCTGATTTTGTTGAATTCTAGGAAAGAGGGGGATGCATGCAGGGGTTACAATTTAGAAGCGAAGGGGTGGGGCGGTGTTAAACTGGAGAGGGATAAGGAAGGCAGTTTCTTAGCTAGGTATGTACAAGTGTCATTCTGACGGCTGACTGAGTCTTTATAGTTGAAGTTTTGGAAGATCTCAATGATTTGTCAAAAACAGAGACAGAAAACATGTTTGTGTTCTGCAGGGTAAACTCTAGGTTGTTCTTTGGGGTATTGTGTAAATTAATAAGGGAGTTGTTTTTGGCTTATTGCCCGGGGCTGAACACCCCTGATGGCCTCATGGGAATAATCTCAAATTTCTAGCAGACAAACTGCAATTTAACTCTTTCCGGATGTATCGCCGATATATCGGCGCGAGTCCACACCTGTGACACCCCTTGCAGACGTATCACTGATATATCGGCTGTGGTAGGGTGCCTCAGTAGTATTGTTTCGTTTTAATAATAATAATAATAATAATAAATGACATTTATATACGCTCAACCCCAAATAAAGTACACAGGCTCTGAGCGCTTTACAATACAGTACAACATACAACAGTAACATGAAACGTTGTGTTCTGACTAAAGAAAATTATTCCAAATATTCATCTTATTAATTTAAAAACACGATCCGTCATTTATAATTACTTTGTATTGCTATTGAAAAACTCTGAAAGGATTTAGGAAACGAAAACATCTAGTTTCACTTTGTCAAAACGTGGGTTTAGGGAAAAACGAGTGAATTAGTTCTTGCAGTCTTGCATCAACAAAACGATGTAACCGGACTCAGTATACATATCATAATTCATACAAAAATTGGAATATTGCTTTCAAATAAAAGGCTGCGCATTCAGAAATTTATGGATTATGATCTTGGCCTGTATATGATAAGATAGCTATACTGATTGCTTTCACATGTTTGGTGAATGTAATTTTTTCTGTAAAAATGTATTTTTCTCATCACCATCACCATTTCAAACCCTTGTCATGCATACTTATGTTCAAAATTAATCCTTATAATGTTTCATATTGGAATGTATTTCTCATTCAAATTCCTTCAATTTGGTATAACATATGTTATGTTTGCGTGATGGTTATGCTTCTATGAAGTTATTTTGTACACAACCTGCATAGCCAAATTGAGCCTCAAGTTAATTATGTCTAGACCCCCAAAAAACTATATCCGGAAAGAGTTAATGCATGATATGTTATGAAGCTGGAAGCTCACTTTCAATCAGCACATTTTGTCATTCAATAAGATAGATACTTTGTCAGAATAGTTTTTTGTTGTACAGCGGGGGTGCAGCGCTCCAGAGGATGTTAACTCTGTAATTGGTAGATGGTACCCATGAAAACTGTTAAAGCTGTTTCAGGTTTTAGTGATAGAAAAAGTGTGTATGATTGCTAACTCAACACCTGACTCCTAACAGGAACTTGCAATCTTTTTACCCAGCCTTTGTTCTCATTCTAACCTTGATACTAGTGGCTCTTTGTTGGTTGTTCTCAAAAATTAAAACTAGTGTTTCTACCATAACATTAACAATTTGTCATCACTCACATTTTTTACAGGAAGGTCTTGGTGGAGATCCCCTCAGTTTGGAAGAAACCTTGGATCTTGGTGACCCAGTAGAGTCTACGGGAATTGAGATTACGATAAAGGAGACAGACCCTGCTGAGTCGGATAAAATAAAAGTAATCACCTTGAATGAAATGCAAGACCTTCGTCTCCCCCCATATAGAATGAAAATGAATAGGGTTGCCTTTTTTACTTAAATCTGTAGCTTTGAGCAGTGTTTTGTTGTATAATTTTAAGATTTCCAAAGGAATCATTGATATTTTATTAATCGTTGTAATTGGATAACTCCGCGGCTTTTGTGTTTTTCAATAATTGCAACCTCATTAAAGTAAATTTTTAGACAAGCTGAAAGTCCAGATTTGGCTGCTTGGTCCTTTTGTGAAATGCAGTGGTCTGTGTTAAACATTATTCTGTTTGTGATTGCTTTATCTTAAATCTTCTTTAATTATTGTTCTAACATTGAATCAATTTTTTTTTTACTTTTGTTTTTGCATTGCTTTTTTTTTGACACACCTGTGGTCATAATTAGCCCATATCATTTGTGTCTTCATGAATTAAGAAAGAAAACAAGCTACTTTATCGTTCTTTTCTTTCCAAGTATTCCTTTTTCTCTAAGAGCGCAGTGCCCTACTGTCATCTGGCCTGAAATGTTAAACTGTAACGGCATGCTTTTTAAAATTTGTTCACTATTATTTTTTTAACTTTTAGATTGTTTTTTTTATTGCATTGAGTACATATATAACGTTCTAACCTCTCAATTCATAGCATTCTAGTATTTCCATTGCATTGAGTACATATATAACGTTCTAACCTCTCAAGTCATAGCATTCTAGTATTTCCATTGCATTGAGTACATATATAACGTTCTAACCTCTCAAGTCATAGCATTCTAGTATTTCCATTGCATTGAGTACATATATAACGTTCTAACCTCTCAAGTCATAGCATTCTAGTATTTCCATTGCATTGAGTACATATGTAACGTTCTAACCTCTCAAGTCATAGCATTCTAGTATTTCCATTGCATTGAGTACATATATAACGTTCTAACCTCTCAAGTCATAGCATTCTAGTATTTCCATTGCATTGAGTACATATGTAACGTTCTAACCTCTCAAGTCATAGCATTCTAGTATTTCCATTGCATTGAGTACATATGTAACGTTCTAACCTCTCAAGTCATAGCATTCTAGTATTTTCATTGCATTGAGTACATATGTAACGTTCTAACCTCTCAAGTCATAGCATTCTAGTATTTCCATTGCATTGAGTACATATGTAACGTTCTAACCTCTCAAGTCATAGCATTCTAGTATTTCCATTGCATTGAGTACATATGTAACGTTCTAACCTCTCAAGTCATAGCATTCTAGTATTTTCATTGCATTGAGTACATATGTAACGTTCTAACCTCTCATTTCCAGACTTGCAGAATGTTTTTTGCTGTTGTGCACATTCTTGTCATTGCCTTTAACATTGATTTGTCAGCCACGGTGTTCACTTTTACAAACAGGTAAAATAGTCCTCAACTTTTTGTTTGTGCTCGAGTTAATTTGTTTGTTGACTCAGTGTCACAAGCAGTGATGTGATGTCACAAGCAGTGATGTGATGTTACAAGCAGTGATGTGATGTCACAAGCAGTGATGTGATGTCACAAGCAGTGATGTGATGTCACAAGCAGTGATGTGATGTTACAAGCAGTGATGTGATGTCACAAGCAGTGATGTGATGTCACAAGCAGTGATGTGATGTCACAAGCAGTGATGTGATGTCACAAGCAGTGATGTGATGTCACAAGCAGTGATGTGATGTCACAAGCATTGATGTGATGTCACAAGCAGTGATGTGATGTCACAAGCAGTGATGTGATACAAATGAAATGTTACCAATCAACTGAATGTATTGCTGTCTGTTTACAGGAATCGGACCAGGGTGTGTCAGCAGGTGATGGGGCGTCAACCAACATCAGTAGCTATTTTTCAAACTCTAGAGACGACATATTTGACTCACTAGGGGGTGGTGGCGGGGATGACCTCCTTGGGAATGATATGTTCATGTCCATCGCCATTTCCAAATCCGAGGAGGACATCAGGGCATCGGAAATGAATGCCCGTGAAATTACAGAGTCAGATGTGTCACAGGATGGCTTGTCTCCTGAAGGAGAGGGAGGCATTCCTAGGCAGCATTCTTTCATACGTAAGCAGGAAGAGGAGGAGAAAAAGATGAGCGCTGTCCTGGATGAAGAACAGCCGACCAATCTGGAAGGAGGGCTGCCAGCTGGGGAAGAAAGTAAGCAGGATGGAGGCAGTGATGATGATGATGTAGAAGAGGGAGAAAATGTCATGCACATCCGCTACAGAGAACATAAAACTTCCTCTTGTGAACCAGAGACCATAGCTTTTGAGGGTAAGTTGGCTGGATTGTAAATGCAGGCACCATTACTATGTTGTAGTTTGTTAGAATTGCATTCATTTTTGGCTTGCGTGAATCGTCATGTTCAACACATTCTTGAAAAATATGTTTGAAATGTTTTCTTTTGCTCATATGACTTTGATTACTGATTATTGTGTCCTGCCATTACTGGCAGCAGTTTGCTTCATGACACTTCCTCATTTCTGGACTTACAGCGTTCAGATTGAATGAGTGAGCTACTTTAAAGGTGGATCACAGACTAGGAGTACAGTCTCTAAATTGCACTCTTCATAATCTAATTCAGGTGAAGGCGATGTTGACACATCAGAACCACCAGAACTCAAGGAAATTACAGACTTGGCTGATAAGGAAGACTTTGAGGACTTCACGGCTCAGAATGATGAGGGAAATGCAAAACCTGGTTTCATGTCACAGGTCTGTTCTACGCTTTGCAAATTTGGCACATGCTCTATTTGTGTTTAAAATTTTCTTTGGTTTGTGGAGAACGATATAGAAAGTTGACGGATTGTTTGTATAGCATGGTAGATAGCTTGAAAGTCTTAGAAACATAAAGAAATGTTACCATAGAAAATTGAAATTAACATCTGAGACTGCTGAACATTTACTGAATTTTTGTATTTTGTTACATTATCTGTTGTCAATAAAGTATTGTGTGTTCAAGGAGGCAATGGAATTAAAAATGCATCCTGTAAAGTCTTCAAAGCTAATTAAATGAGAAATAATGCTTATGTGTGCAGGAACTTTTTTGAATTCTTGTGTTCAGTTAGAATTGTGAAGACAATTTATAGGCAGGCAGTGATGTCCACTATTGAATGCGCAGAACTATTTTGCATTTTAAAAATATTTTTTACTTGAATTTTATTTTGTCCAATGATGAAAGTTGTTTTATATGTCTTAGATGTCAAGAACATCAGAGCACTCAGAGCCCTCGACACCGGCACCTAATTTGCCTAGCGTCCAACAGACTGCGTCTGGTGTCCTCAGTCCACCCGTCAATTCAGTTGCCAGACTCCAGGGCCCAGTCCTGGGCTCCACACCGTCACAACTTTCCCCTATGGGAACACCGGTCCATCAGAGCTCAGGGACTGCGGAGGACCTGACGTCCAGTCCGTCTATGAAGACCATAAACCCACCTGGTCTAGAACCTCAGTCAACCAGCGGCCCGTTCCATCAGCCGAGTCCAGAAATCAAAAGTGGATCTGTCTTTGCGCAGTTTGGATCTGGTGGATCCACGGATGACGCTTTCACCTCTATACTGAGCATGAGTGACGCCGACAGGAGGCACGACGCATGGATTCCCTCCGATGCTACTTGTCATATACTGAAAACCATGGCCACCGGTCAGCCAGGGTCTTTCCAACCGGCGGCAGAGCAGTTGAGTACTCCAGGTGTTCTCACGAATGAACCACAGGTAAGTTTTTGGTGATAGACAGCAATGTGACTTTTGGAAGACCATGCTCAGTCAGTGAGCTTTGGTTTTGATGTGATTATTTCGACAGGGCAGCTTGTACTTGCGTCTCGTCACCTCTTGGAATGAAACTCTGTCTCAAGCTGTCTGTAGTGTATCACAGTGTGTGTATGTAGTTTCCATTTTGTGCGCAATTACAGAATAAACACACTTAACACACATGTTAGATTCCTACTCTCATGCAGTCATGCCTACTCAATCATGCACAAATACACACTGTGTATGTTTGGGTTTATGTTAGGCTTTTCGTTTTGCAAAAACCCAGACACGGTCAAGTGTGGGAACCAAACGTCCAGCCACAGGCTTGTGCTCTTCTCTGCACTCAAACGGACAAAAACTGATGCCTTTCAACTTTTCTCTCAGTCCTGTCATTGTGGTTGACATGTTACTGAGATGCTCATTTTTCTTTCACCAGGGTGACCCAGTGAGGGAACTGGTCCTGCGCTATATGGGGGAGCAGGAGGCGATCAAGAGATCGGTGTTGTCAGTGGACAGTGTCACTCAGGATGTAGATGGGCTGAAGAAGATGATTGTAAGTTTTCCCGCTCAAAGAATATCATGAAGACCGCAGGGGGGAAATGGCTGAGGAACTTTTAAGGGGTTTTGAGAAATTTCTTTAAAGTAAGCAACCTCTTGTCTCATATATATTTTTTCTCTTTATTTTTACTTGGACTCTGTTGTTTTTTCTCCCTTTGAAATATGATCTGTAGCACAATGTAGCTTTGAAATATGATCTGTAGCACAATGTAGCTTTGAAATATGATCTGTAGCACAATGTAGCTTTGAAATATGATCTGTAGCATAATGTAGCTTTGAAATATGATCTGTAGCACAATGTAGCTTTGAAATATGATCTGTAGCACAATGTAGCTTTGAAATATGATCTGTAGCATAATGTAGCTTTGAAATATGATCTGTAGCACAATGTAGCTTTCACTTAGCACAACTCCATAAGAACTATGGCTCTGCTGCATTTTTCCCCCACATTGTCTTCCTGTGTATTTTGTATGGTGTTTTGTGAAAAGATCGCTGTTTATTGCTATTGTTTTTAATTAGGTTTTATTGGTCAAGTTGTCCTTTATTTTCTACTTTATTTTCTACTTTATTTTCTACTTTATTTTCTACTCTGTTTTCTAGTGGCACTGAATACAATACTGGAGAAAGGGCCAGGAATAATTGAAAGCTTATTTGTCACGGCCATTGTTAGTGTTGTTAGTGTTAACGCTTTCCAGCGTGTGTGAGGAAAATGTTACTCTTAACATGAATTTAGAATTGATTTATTTACTTGTTGAACAGTAATAACAATTTGATTTGAGACCACTTTTGTGCCGTGAGAAAAACACAATTGCCCTTTACTTATGTGCAGACAGTGATTATCAATGGAGTGTATTTTAAAATGTTAGGAAGAAATAACGTATTAGTGTATTTGTAAAAGAAATAGATAAAGAAATCTGTCCAAAATCATACAGTTGAACCTACGCTAGTGACCATCTGCCCCAGACGAGGTCTGTACAAACGGCCATTTCCTGCTCCCCCCCCCCCCCCCCTTGAGTTTGAAAAAAAAATGATATAGGAACACTGCCCCAGACGTCTCCCTAGGACGTCTCCCTAGGATGTCTCCCTAGGACATCTCCCCAGGACGTCTCCCTCCCTAGGACGTCTCCCTGGGACGTCTCCCTGGGACGTCTCCCTGGGACGTCTCCCTGGGACGTCTCCCTGGGACGTCTCCCTGGGACGTCTCCCTAGGACGTTAGGACGTCTCCCTAGGACGTTAGGACGTCTCCCTAGGACAACAATTTTTCTCCTCAACATTGAAGTGACTGTACTTTGTTATTGGTTTAGAAATAAGTTTCTCTTTGCCCTTGAGCAAGACACAATTTGTAAATCTTAGTTATGTACTATGACAACTAACTTTGGTATGTACTGGGGAAGAAAGATCTTTTCAATCCCATCCTAAAACATTGTCATCAGTTAAAAGAATAAACGTTCTCTTTTGTTTCTTTACAGGAAGCGGGATGCTTGCGAGCAGCTATTGACCTGACGGGTCGCCTCCTGAACCAGGTGGGTCAAGGCTACAGCAAGGCGGGTCAAGTGACCGTGCATACGCCGCATTCACTGCAGCTCTGGTTCTGCCGTCTGACGCTGATGGTCAAACTGCGGATGTACGAGCAGGCTGAGGCTGAAATGAGAGCTTTCCAGACCTTGGACACGCCAGATCTGTACTTCCAGTACTACGCCAACACTTATCCAGGCAGAAGAGGTAGGCCTATGATTGCAATTGGAATTTGGAAAGAGTATTTAAAGTAAAATGGTTTTTTTTTCTTTTTTAATTATAACTTTTGTATCTCAATTATTTTTTAACAAACCTCTTCCATTTTTCTGCTTGAAAAGTCTTTTTTATTATTTTGTTTCTTTTTAGTTTTAAAAATAAAAGTTGATATTGTTTGGAAGATTTTTTTTTTTTGTCTTATGCAGTTAAGTTTTCATTTATTTTTTATTTCATTACATTCTTCTGTTCAAGTGACATGTTTTTGAAATGGAAAATTTTATCTTTGAAAAGTGTCACTTTATATTTTAGTATGAGAAAAAGTTTCTTCTCTTCTTTATTCTGTACCCCATCTCTCACTCATTGTGCTTATGTTGTTGGTATTTTTTTGTTTGTGATATAGTCCCTGATTCAATTTCATTCCCAGGTTCTATGGTGTCCTTCTCCATGCGTATGTTGCACGCTGAGCTGCCGGTGCTTTGTGGGAGGAGTCAGGAGACGCTGGACAGACTTTACTACATGCTGGCAGTCTGCAACAGGGTAATACAACGGCTCTGTCACTGCTTACAATTTCTTTCAGCAATATATTCTCTCTGTAATTTCACACTTCATGAAATAGGCCAACTACATTCTTGTGTTGTAACCTATACTGTAACGGGCGGTTCATTGAAGCTCTGCTGTGCTCTGCTGTGCTCTGCTCCTCTTACTTGTCAGTGTTACAAAGTATTTTTTGGTTATTGCTGGCCATTATTTCTGTAGACTACAACACAACAACGATTGCTCTTGCTGGCTTATTGTGAGCTAATCATTTTCTCCTCCCTCGGTCATTAGATATTGTGGAAGAGGCATATTGGGGCTCGCTTTTTAAATGGGGAAGAAGGGGGTGAATATTAGGAAACTTCAGAAAGTATTTTATATGTTGTTCATTCTGTAAATTTAAATTTTTTGGATATTTTCACCTTAAAATGTTTGTTCCAGACAGGTCTGTGGTTTATGATTTTGCACTTTGCACCTAGTTTGGTGCTCATGACTTTTTCTTCTTCTTTGGGTTTTCCAGATCAAGGCTAACTTGTCCTCCGACTTGAGTGAAGATGGAAGTGCCACTCATATGACTTATGAAGCTAGGAAAGGTCAGAAATACTCCAGTCTTCATTTTTACTTTCGGATTTTATACTTGGTGCCCAGCTTTCGTGGCTTTCCAAAGAGAGTGATGAAATAATAAAATTTTATCAAATGCTGTATGTCAGCCATACCAAATAAATTCATTTTCTTTGTTATTGCTGAAGGCTATCTCGCTTATTTGTGGGTCAAATGTTACCAAATTTCACACATAGAACAAGCTTAGTAAGAAGTTTTAAAATCCGCATTCCAATTTGAGAGAAAAAAAATGTTTCCATGGATACGGTGGCCATATTGGATTTTTGTGACATTTATTACATAAATAATACTGCACTAATTTTTAATGGAAGTAAATTGGGGTTTTTTTTTGCATGTATCTTGGCAAACAATAGATCTACAAATCTGTGTGATGTATTTTTCTTAACTTACTAGAAAATTTTCAATGAATTTTTTCCTGAGGTAGTATTCATGTTTGCAAAAAATGCGTGAAAATCCTGCTCCAAACACCATCGGCAAAAAACGATTCCATATTATAAAAATATCATCACATACAAGCATTTAGAAAAACACATTTAAAAAATACTAAACAAATTCCAAAAATCTCGGAAAAAAACAATTAGAAAGAGAAATGAATATAGTTTCAGAAAAATATAAATTTATATGCACAAATTGTTGGAAATGTTCTCACTTTAGCTCAATCGGGGTGTTCGACCCGTCACTTTCACTCTCAGCCTTGAGGTCGGGCCCTAGATCTAAATTTTACATCTGATTAATCGGAATGGCCCAAAACTCTTGCTACAACGTTTATATCAATATTTTATTCATCTGATTTGTCCTTTGCTTGTTCATGCTCTAATCCATCCTTATTTCCTTTTTCAAACTCAATTTTGTCGCTTTTCAACAAGTCGAGACACTTTCAAAGTGTCAGAAACACGATCGCACTTTGATCGGCTCTAAAACTGAACCTACTGATCCGAAAAGCTTCGTTTCGGTATCAAACATGAAGAAATATTTTGCATTAACTATGTGAAAGGAAAATTCGGTCCCAGAGTCTCGTTAAGGCGAAATTTCGTTTCTAAAGACGCCTGATCGGAAAGGGCGATTCCGGGCAAGATAGGGTGGAGCGCGTAAGGAATTTCGCGGGCGAGTTAGGGGTGTACTGTCCCGGGCGAGTTAGGGGTGTACTGTCCCGGGCGAGTTAGGGGTGTACTGTCCCGGGCCAGTTAGGGGTGTACTGTCCTGGGCGAGTTAGGGGTGTACTGTCCCGGGCCAGTTAGGGGTGTGCTGTCCCGGGCGAGCTAGGGGTGTACTGTCTCGGGCGAGTTACGGGTGTACTGTCCCGGGCGAGTTACGGGTGTACTGTGTTAAAGATGAAATCAATAGGCTCTACTGGTATGTGTTTATATTAGCAGCAACATCATTATGAAATGCTCTACCTTTCCTTTCTTTCTCCCCCCCCTTGTTTCACCTGTGTTTTTATCACTATCATCTTCCAGTGTCCCTTATGAAATGCTCTATCTTTCCTTTCTTTCTCTCCTCCCCTTCTTTCTCCCCCCCCCCCCCTTTGTTTCACCTGTGTTTTGATCACTATCATCTTCCAGTGTCCCTGGAACTGTGGAACAACCGAGAAGTCAGTGTCATCTCAAAAATTGGCTCAACCATGCTGGCAGAGAAGGTAAAAGTTCTTAAATTTTAGAAATGTTCTTTCATTTAAAAAGTAGTCCAGAACAATATGTACATGTGTTATTCCCTGTAGATAAAAGAGAATGGTCAATATATGGATAAAGAAAAATATTCTTCATCATGCACTGTAGATAAATTGTACAAGATTATGTATCTCTATTTTTGACTGAAAGTCGTTCTTGGTACTATTACTATTTCAGGATTATGAAGGAGCATTGGCGATTTATGAGAGCCTTCTGGAAAAGGACAAGAATTCCCAATTGGAGCTCAGAGCTGGCATTGGGAGAATACACTTGCAGGTAAGTTATCTGCTATCTTTGAACATTATTGGACGGTTGAAGTGGTTTCGTAACCAGGATAATCTTCTTCTTCTTCTTCTATCCCGTGGTTGGGGCAACTGTGGGGGCACCACTGCATTTGAAAACCAGCTCTCGCCATCTATTTTTGTCCTCTGCTCTCCTCAGATTGTCACCCACCGTCTTTCCTGTCCATTCTGTAATGTTGTCCTCCCATCTCCTTCCCTGCCTTCCCCTCTCTCTCAGGATAATACCATGTAGGAAAAGATATTTTGGAAGACGTGATACTCTTCTCTGTTCTTTTGAATATTGTACCCAGTGCACTTTGGCCGTTTGATACATTTGAGGGCAAGTCAATTAATGGCCTCTCCAGTGCACACTACATCAAATTGGCCTCTGCTTGGCTGCTGCAATAAAAAATAACCTTCTGATTGATTATTTTCTGCTGTTTTCATCAGATGGGTCAGAATTTTTAACATTCTTATCTCACCATCGCCCAAAAGCAAGCTGTTGTGAACGCAATCAACTTGTGTTTCGCACACGCATATAAACTTGTGCAGTTGCGAGCGCCGTAAAACTCTTACTAAACTAGATGTGTCAAATGTATGCAGTTGCGAGCGCCGTAAAACTCTTACTAAACTAGATGTGTCAAATGTATCAGACCTGTGACCTAGAAAAAAAAGATGGTGGATTTTGGAGGATTTTGTCAAATGGTCTGTGGTCAGGCACTCATGTGCTGTCATTGATGATACTTGTTGGACCAAGCAGGAGCAGGTGAATCACAGTACAATGGAGTCATCATTCTTCTTTTTTCCCATTGTCTTTCCTTCAGATTGAGACCAATGCATTTCGTTACTGGTATTAAATTTTAAAGAATTATAGGTGCTGGAAAATACAGTGTTACCTGCTCGAACATCCTGTATAAGACAGTCACTTGTACAATGGTCACTTGTACAATGGTCACTTGTACAATGGTCACTTGTACAATGGTCACTTGTACAATGGCCACTTCTCATTTCCCCCCTTGAGGTTTTTCTTTTACATGATCATAATGACGCTGGATACCTTGCAGGCTTTGGTGCTGGGGGGGAACTGAGCACTTATGGACCTGTCCGGTGTGCAATGGCGTTGTTGCCCAGAACAGGTAATACAGGTAATAATGACGCTGAGTAAGACAGACACTTTTCTCCTCAACAGTGGCTGACAGTTTTAGACAAATTTTTCTGTATGGTTTTGTCTTTATAATCCCAAAGCACAAATGATATTATCTGTGCTGTTTTCATGACTTGAATTTTCCTCTTTTTTTTTCGTGTTCAGATGGGCAATATAGCTGAAGCAACAAGAATGATGAAAGAAGTGGAGAGTGACTGTCTGAAGGGAGACAGTCCTATGTCATGCTTCAATCTTGTCAGCAAGTGAGTGCTGATTTTGGAGGGGGGGGGGGGGGTCATAGAGTACAATGATTTTTGTGTAAAAAGAAAATATTGTTTGTGTGTAGTGGAAGGTGGCTTGTGGGTGGGGGAGGGTGGGTGCATAAAGTTATTTAGTGAAGCACCACAAATACTGTTGACAAGACTAATTACAATTATTGGGATCGAATGAGATTTAATGTTTGTGCCATTCACACATAATTTGCCCCTCATTATCTTGTTTACCTGTCTTTTGAGTTTTGCATTGTACTAGATCTGTATCAGTGTTTTGCATTGTACTAGATCTATATATCAGTGTTTCTAAGAGATATTATTCTTTTTGTTTTTTCATAATTGATCTCCTCTGGTAAAACAAAACTAAATGCTCTTGTGTTGTAGAAGTCTCTGGTAAAACGAAACTAAATGCTCTTGTGTTGTAGAAGTGCGGGCTGTGTGGAACATTGCGGAAGTTTACCCAGTGTTTGTAGAGGGGCTCCAGTACTTTTCTTTAGGCCTAGTCATAAACAGAGCTTTTAAATAGGTTTTATTGTCAGGCATGTCATTTATTCTCACTGAAGACTGATGTTTGTTTATAACATTGAAGCATTTTGTTTCCTCAGAGGTTTAGTGTCAATGTGTGCCACAAACTTCCATGAAGCCTACCAGCACTTTAAGTCAGCAGTACAGATACAGCCCCACAATACCTGTGTAAGTTGTTGTGCATACTATTTGTGTCCATTTGTACAACACACTTGTAGGTGTGCTTCCTTCTGCAGAACTATCCCACGTTCTACTTCAAGCCCACTCATACCCTGGTGCTATTGGGCACAGGCTCACTCATACCCTGGTGCTATTGGGCACTTGGGCACAGGCTCACTCATACCCAGGTGCTATTGCGCACAGGCTCACTCATACCCTGGTGCTATTGGGCACTTGGGCACAGGCTCACTACTACCCTGGTGCTATTGGGCACTTGGGCACAGGCTCACTCATACCCAGGTGCTATTGGGCACTTGAGCACAGGCTCACTCATACCCAGGTGCTATTGTACACTTGAGCACAAGCTCACTCATACCCAGGTGCTATTGCACACTTGAGCACAGGCTCACTCATACCTAGGTGCTATTGCACACTTGAGCACAAGCTCACTCATACCCAGGTGCTATTGCACACTTGAGCACAAGCTCACTCATACCCAGGTGCTATTGCACACTTGAGCACAGGCTCACTCATACCCAGGTGCTATACTCATACCCAGGTGCTATTGCACACTTGAGCACGGGCTCACTCATACCCAGGTGTTATTGAGCACAGGCTCACTCATACCCAGGTGCTATTGCCAGGGTTCCCGCGGCCTCCTTGAATTCAAGGAGTCCTTGAAAACTGCTTGAATTTGCCTTCAACGAAAAATCTCCTTGAAAACTGCTTGAATTTGCCTTCAACGAAAAATCTCCTTGAAAACTCCTTGAATTTGCCTTCAAGGAAAAATCTCCTTGAAAACTCCTTGAATTTTGCCAGATCGGATAGGAACACGTGTACAGGGTGACTGCCAGGCCCTGGGAATCCCGGGGGCCCCTGGAATCACCCAGGAATTTGAGGAATTTGAAGAAATCTGTAAATTGCCCCGTGAAAGACCCGCGGAAATACATAAAAGTTCTGGAATATATTTGAAAACCAAATCCAATAACGTCCTTGAGTTCCATGTTTGCCGGTCGCGATTGTGAATAATATTTATTCGGCCTTTCCCGGCCTGAGAGTACGTTACACGCGCACATGCGGTAATGGCCACAACAAGTGGAAGTATGTGCGATACCGGAGCTCGATCGGGAAAATCAAGATCTACTTTCGCTTTCGTTACCTCCCAGAAATTTGCCAGTAGGGCCTATAGTAGTCTGATAGCGCCACATTTCTAACATGCAGGCTCTGCATTACAAACGTTGTGTCGCCATGAAAATAAATCGTTTGTCCTGTGCTGTCACTTGTGTGAAAAAAAAAAGGAAAAAGAAAGTTCTACAAGCTTCTTGTCGGGCTCGCCATCGTGACCGGTCATTGAACCTGTGCGTTTTCGTCACATCGTGAGTATCGGCGATGGTTGAGGTCACCAAAGTTCATGCAAAGTTTGAGCGCTGCGAAGTATAGGACTCGGGAATGGGAGGATTATTGATTTTTTTTTTAAAGACGCATGCGGGGGGGTTGAAGGCAACACCGGATGACAAAAAAACTGAACTTGGAAGTTGGTAGATCTCTAGATCTGTCTGCAAAGGGCGCGTTGGTGCACAGTCCTTGTGTGGAATCGGGATCCATCATGCTCAAACCGTCTAAGCCGTGTTCTTTTTACTAAAGGGTTCCCGTTTCATTGCGTAGGTGATAGTAAATTATATGTATTGTATATTTTAGTTTTCTGTTCAAGATTCGCAGATTTTCAGTGTCACTGCATCTTGCCCTCCGGCAGTTCTTACACCTCTCGCTCTGAATAGGTCTACGCCATTCATGTTATTACTCTACTTTGAGCTAGAGTAATAATTTTTGTCTTTCACGTTTATTATATAAACCTTGACACCCCAACTGGTTCTTGACAGTGGATATTCTGGTTCTAGGCCTTTTCTCAGGCTCAAAACAAGATTCATTTTTATATAGTTTATATTAGTGAATATGATGAGGGGAAAATATAAATAAGTTAGAACAGACTGAAACGCCTAAGTCACAGTATCCCAGTGCCACACTGACATCATGTTGTTGACTGGATTCAATGTACCTACATGCGTGTGTGTGTATATAATAATATATAAATGGAGCATTCACTGTCATTATGTAACATGCCCCTGGAGAATGGATGAGACACCCCCCCCCCTCCTTGAAAATTGAGAAGCCGGGTTGGCAGTCACCCTGGGAACAGTTTTTCTAGGAAAATCGAAACTATGAATATGATATGATTCCTTTCGGACAAGTGTTTTAAAAAAAAATAGGCTTTCGTCATGAATTTCTTGACCAAATCTCCTTGAATTTTAAAAATTTTTCCTTGAAACCTCCTTGAAAACTCCTTGAATTTGATAAGAAGTTCATGGCAGGAACCCTGTATTGCACACTTGAGCACGGGCTCACTCACTCTCACAAATCTACTGAGCTAAGGTTTTCATTTCTGAATAAGACAATATCAGTTGATTACTCTCTGAATCACTGCATAGTGTATCCAACTATTACTGAATCTCAAGTATTACTTTGAGCACTACTTTTAGTATTTTAGCAGTACCATTATTCCCTGAGAATTCTAAAAGTCTCTGATGTTCAAGATTTTGTAAGTTGCAAGTTCAACATATTATTATGCCCCACTTTGTTGCTTTAATAGTCGTAAAACTAATCTAGATGTATGTTGCACACCTTTGGAAATTAGAAAATCGAGATGTATAATCTGGATCTTGCATGCAGAGATTTTCAGGCTCAAAGGTTGATGTGTAATAACCCGCATTGTTTATGGTCAGTAATGGCTCTCATGCATTTTGTCATTTTTGGTCCAGTCCATTCTTCGATGTTATTTTGTTCACTCTTAGCCCTTGGGCTCCACATCTTGTCTTTGAGTATTTCCTTCATTGTGGTCTGTTGGCCTTCTATGTGACCTGAGTATTGTATTGTAGTTTTCTTCTTTTCATAAAGATGTTGATAGTTTCATCTATAGTTTTTGCTCTGACAGGCTGTGAACAACATGGCGGTCTGCTCCCTCTACCTCGGACGGCTGAAGGACGCTCTCAACACTCTGGAGCAGCTGGTCCACAGTGACCCAGCCAACACACTGCACGAAGGGATTCTCTTCAACCTCTGCACACTCTACGAGCTGGAAACCTCACGCGCCCTTCATAAAAAGCAGGCAATTCTTGACCTGGTCAGTAAACACAAGGGGGACGGCTTTCCCGTGGCTTGCCTCAAGATGACGTGAGGAGAGGTGATACTTGTCTGTACATGGTAGTACCGGAGCACGGTTTCTTAATCATCATCTTGTTTTGCTAGTCTCGTACTAGCATTTCAAAAATGCCTCTGTTTGTCTGCACACCACACCCATGCCCTTCAAACTAGTACACTGCTGTCAAGATCTTTCTGTAATTTCTTAAAACTTGATAATGAAATGTTAAAATTAAAGAGATGTACATTACTTTTCTTTCCCTTAGAATAACTGAACTTAGTTGCCATAGAAATTAGTAGGCCTGGGCATAATTTATTCCCCCCAATCCCTAGAATAAATAGGAATCTAGTTATCTTAAAACCAGAATAGCCGAATAGATCATTAACTTTCGGAAGGAGCCGCTATCAGTGGCCTAACTCTATTTCAAAGCCATTCATTTAAATGATTAATCCCCAGTCAGGTTTCCGGCCTAGACCCAACCTCCATCACATTCTGCGTTGTGATATATAAGGATGGAGATAGTATTCATTTGTAAATCTAACCAATTTGATGAAAAGCCATCGTAATGGCCTGCATTCTGTCCTATCCTGTGAAACCATTCATGTTTGTTTTGTAGATGTGAACAGGGAATGATTTTGAGGCTTTTGCCCCAGACTGGTGTGTGCTCCTTGACTGTTGTCTCAGACATATATGACACCACAATGATAGATTTTTTGTTTTTTAACCTTCCATGCTCTTCAGGACATACTTTTCTCCATTTTTTTTTTCATTCTTGTGTGCGCGAAGAAATAGGGCCTCGCAAACGGCACACCTTTTATCGTAGGTGTCAGCAACCATGGGGAAATGGTTTACCCTCATGTCAAATCGCTTGTGTTCAGACACCTTCTTCTGTGTTTGTTCCTTGACTTCATGAGTTCCAACCAGAGAGTTTACTCTGTCCATTTGAAAACGGAGCCTGTCATTGGACGTCTGTACGTCAACGCCTGCGGTTTTCTGATCTTCTTGCCGCAAAATGTAAGCATTCCAGATGCTCCGCCTCAGGACTTTGATAAAAAAGCAGATTTGCCATTTGTACTGTTTGTTCCACTTCACCATCACAGTGTTTTGATCCAGTTTATCCGGACCGTTCATGAAATGGTTGTAGTCTTTTACGACTTGTTGTGGGCATAGGTAGGAGCTGTCCCGTCTTGTCACAGCGATTCTCTTCATCTGCTGTGGGTTCATGGCAGTTGGACAAAAAGTAGTTCTTTGGGGAGATCTTCCAGACATGAACATGGGATATATAGCAATGCTAAACTAAACTTTCAAACTTGCCATGGGAAAAAATAAACAGCACAGGGTTATAGAGATTGGTATGGTAAGAACAACACAGTTTGAATTATCAAAGTCCATCTATAAATAAAAAAGTTATGTAGGTTTTATTGTCGGTTTCGGTTAGTATTGTATATAGAAAAATATTTTCGAGAAATGGACCACAAAATCTGAAATTTTATATGTCTTTTTTTCGTAACTTCTTCATTTCTCAACCAATCTCTTTGAAACTTGGCATATTTATAGCATTTTTGGTGTTGATTCCAATGAGACGATTGCCAGTGCAATAGGAGGTCATTTAACAATGTTATTGCACATAATTATGTGATAATTCGCATGTTTCGACAACATAAAATGGACAATCAGCCAGTTTTACACGTTGAAGGCCTAATATTTTCATTTTTATGGCATGAAAAACACTTGACAATAAAAAAAAAGAAGGCAAATGACTTACTTTACTCCAAAGAATTGCCTAGAATCCCACTACTTCTTAAGAAATTTGCGTGGAATATCTTTTGCGTTTTGTATTATCCATGATCTTCCGCCACATCTTGGTAAAATATCCAGCTTAGTGTCAAGAACACTATGACGAGACACAGTGTGAATGTCCCTGTCATCTGGCCACTTGAAAACTCCCAAGCCTTTTCCCAGATCCCCAAAGTTCACTTTGGCACTGTCACTGTCAGGAGCTGTATCGGTCATCACGATGCCTGTAGAAATGAGAACAAAATTCGACAAAATTTAATTTATCTTGCTGCAAAAATTCTTTATCTGAAATGAAGAGAAAGTTAACAGTTCATAAGAGACTTTAAAAATTAATAACACATAAAAGAATGATTTCCTGTAAATCTGATCATTGTACAAAAATAACGTATAATTTATTTTGATACAATACCTGCTCTCTGAACAATCACTCACTGTGTGGGTGAAGCCAAATTAGGAATTCAGATTCAGAAAATAATTGTGGTCTTTGCGTTGAAAAGATGTTTACCGACGCATTCTATTACTTCGGCAATCTTGCCAGTAGCTACTTCCAGTCCTCCCAAGTCAAGCACACACATTCTCATTTTTTCATTGTACTTTCCTTCCACCCTCGTTTCTATCAATCTTTCTCTTTCACCTTCCATCAACATCCTTTTCATCTCATTCGCAAGCTGTTCTGCTTTCCACTTTTGCTTCTCACTCGTCCGATGGTGGCACACATCGTAGGGTTTGTTGCTGAGGCCTGGCATCTGCAAATAAAAAAGATTCTCTTTCTTCCCCTTCTCAGTCCGCTCCCCCCTCCCCCCCCCCTCCACACTCATACTCATCATCACACCCACAGTTGTAGACACCATACACTACACTATTTCAGACATGAGGAGAGTTGGTAAAAGAGGATGGAAGGCAGATGTGCTTGGACTGAGAATGAAATCTATTTTACCTGATTGAGGTGGTCAGCTAAAGGTCGGACTTTGTAGAGTTGGTCGTGGTCTGGCTGGCCGGCAGGTATAAACGGTGTGTTGTTATTCAAGTGGAAAAGTGACAGGGTGGCCTTGAACCTGTCTCTGGTCATCAGCTGACTGGCGAAGCTTGATGTGATAACTCGATTTCTTAACCAGTAATCAGAAATGTTCGACTTGACAACAATCTCCATATAGGAATGAAGATGCCGAGAAAAATCCACTCCTGCCCCCTTTGTCACCTTCTTCCACTTTTTATAAATTGATCTGTCTGTCAGAACTGCCCTCTCCCTTCGCTTTTGAGCTAGTGCTTGCTGGATGTACACCTTTGTTTCGTGCTTTATGTGTTTTATCAGAGTATCATCCACAAACAGTTTGTAGAAATCGAAGGGGGTAGCCTCTGCTCCTGGGTCTACCTTGAAGCCTGCTTGCCCTGTGAAAGGTGGCTCCAGAGGAGAACCATTCAAATCTTTGACATAATCATACATTCCCAGGTCATCACCTTCATCTCTGTCCTCATCCTGATATTCATCTCCTCCAACATCTCTCGTTTCCTCAACATGGGAGTTCTCCCCAGCACTCTCTGCTGTGCTTGTCCTAGTTGCTGCCAAGCCCCCGTCTTCCTCACTTTCACTTCTTGGTGGAACGGAATCCTCACCACTACAATACCCTTACTTTTCCGATCCAGCGGCCATTTGGGTTCTAGCCCTTCGGTCTGTCGATATGGCAAAGAATTGACAGGTTTTAATCAGCTGTGCTTTGTTGCTGTATAGAGTGTTTCCGATGTCTGGGAAGGCAGGTAGGTAGGTGCTACGCAGGTCACAAAGTGCTGGGCAGCTAAAGAGGTGGTGTGGTACTGTTTCATCCTGGCAGTCGCACAACGGGCAGTCAGGTGGGGTTTCCTTGCGGATCCTATTAAGGTAGGAGTTTAGTGGTATGTGTTGTGTTCGCAGGCGAAATATTGTGACTTGTTCTCTTCTACTCAGGGAATTTATTGCATCTTTAGAGTTGGGGGCTGTCATGTGTGCAAATACAATTCTTCCAGTTTTGCACATTGCCCATCCATTCAGCCACTGTTCCCTGGTGTTGCATTTGATCTACAATACCCTTCAAATTCCTGTTCTTCTTCACTGTCACTTGCTGTCTGGTCTGGGATGTTTTCATTGTCTGAACCCTCTTGAATCAACAATTCAATCGCTTCATCTGCGGTGGAGTAGTTTCGTCCGCCGAACCCCATTTTTCGTTGTTTACACAAAATCTAGGTTGCCGACGCCCACTGCAAAAATTACCCTGTCATTCCTCCCCCAATCAGCTTACGGTCAAGAGGATGGCACTCATGAATAACTAAGTGGTTGTGCCAGTTCACAAGAGTTCATTCCCTTTCATTCTGCTTATTTTAAATCTAAGGGGAAAAAATTCCTGAAGTCCGCCAGGCCTTAAGGTTCTGCGCATCGTCAACGTATATCAGTATCCGTGGACCTTAAGGTCTGGCACGTCGTCAACATACAGTCGAACCTGCCCTGACGGCCACCTCTATAAGACGGTCACCTGTACAAACGGCCACTTTCCATTTCCCCCCTTGCGTTTTTTCTATATAATTTAACTGTGTAAAACGGGCACCTGTCCAGCGCAGTTTGTCGTTCACAACTGCAAGTTGCTGATTGGTTGAAAATTGCAGAAATCTCTTGATGAGCTTTAATTTTTCATAAATGATAGGTAGATCCCATAGGTAGATCCCATAGGTAGATCCCATAGGTAGATCCCATAGGTAGATCCCAAAGGTAGATCCCGTAGGTAGATCCCATAGGTAGATCCCATAGGTAGATCCCATAGGTAGATCCCATAGACCAGGAGGGAGACAAACCCCTGTCAACTTTCTGTTTCTGTGATGACCTCTTTAATCCAATCACTATTTTCATCTTTCCTCCACTTTCACAATGAAAAAAACCCCAAACACACACACAGAGCACAAAACAACATGTGATGTTCGTCCTTCGCTGGCGAAGATGACTTTGACTTCACATCACTGGAGGGGTGGGGTGTGTGCGTAGATGGCTGATCAGGCCGATCTTCGCACGGAAATGTCTGTCGCAATGGGGGCAGGGGATGTTTGGGGCTGAATTAGGCTGGAAGGTAGGGCTCTCTCGGTCTTTTCTCAGCTGCCGTCTCTATTCTTTCTTTCGGACGCGACTTTCTTCGAATTTCGCCACACCCGATCTTATTAAGGAGCGCCAAACTGTGCGGTCGTGAGCAGCTTCTTCCCAGGTGGTATGGGGAATGTCACAACTCTTCAGGGATGCAGCATGTACACAACAACAGACACTCAAACATAAAGTCAGGGCTTTGGTGAACTACTCAGAGGCAGGCACACCATCGAGGACTCTCTTAGTAGAGACTTTCTAGCGCTTCAGCTCCTCTGGTGTGTGCTCCTCCTTGCCATCCCTGTGGTTTAAGATCATCAGGGCCTCTAGGCTGTCCATTCCAAGATTGGAGCGGAAATCTGTCCTGCTCCGCACACAGGAAAAGATCCTCTCACAATGGGCACTGCTGTGAGGAATTGTCAAGAGGCCCTTAATGACCCTCTCAATGTTGTTGTACTTGGGCGTGTGTTCCTTCAGGACAGAGGCCCAGAACTCATCTATGGCCAGGCTGTGGTCAGCAGTGACAAGTGTTCAGTCGGAAGGTTAGCCAGCTCTTCCTCCATCTGCACCCTTGTTGTTTAGCCACCTCTTCCTCCACCTGCACCCTTGTTGTAGCCCCAGCTGGGAGTAAGACTGGAAACCTTTTCAGGAGCTTCTGCAAGTTGTTGCCCACCATCCCTTCCTTTGCCATCTCAGTGGGCTCACACATGCTCACAAGTCTCAGGAGGTCATTTTCAAAAGGAAGCTTTTCCTTGAGATACGTGGCTGCACTCTCATAGAACTTCAACACAGAGCAGTAAAATTCGTCCACCTTCTCCTTCCTCCAATGGTTCTCCTCCATACCTCCAACAAAATCTCTGGCAGCTTCCTCTAAAAACTAAGAGCAATTGAGATGGAGGCAGTTAGTGACAAAATATAGGACATATAATCATTGGTTCAAATCAGGTAATAAGAATAATTTGTGTTTTCTGTGCATATATAACAGAGAAACAGTTGATCAAAATAATGTCACGTCTGTAACTGCAATGATAATAACCTGAACTCAGCAGGGAAGCCTTTCCGGTTTGCGTTCACTGTGCCGGTGAAGTAAAACTGCTTTTCCTTCAGATGATTTAGGAGTTGCATACAGGTGTAGTATCTGTCAGCATATATGTGGTGGCCTTTGACGAGAGGGGACAGGAGTGTTTCAAAGACTCGCACAGATTGTTGTGCGTCTGCTGTCATGGGGTCGAACGAAGTCTGTGCGCCGAAGTAAATACGTAGGTTGATGACATAACCAGACTCACTTTCGCAGAGACCGAAGGTCTTGACATGGTATTTACTTGGTTTGGTAGCGTTGTACTGCTTGTGAGCCCATCTTCCTTTCCCACCTATTACCATTTCATCCAAAGAAAGCTCTTGTGTTGGGTAATATGCAGCCTGAAATTGCACCAGAAGTGAAGAAACGAACGGCTCAATCTTTGCTTTCCCTTGTGCGTCCAATTCACAGGCATGCAGCATCGTGTGAAAAATGTGCTGAAACCGGTCACGACGAAATATCTGACGAAACCAGGGTGTTGCCACATGTGGCAAGTCAGTGTTCCAGTAGTCAGAGACACTGGGCTTCTTTGTAATCCCCATTGCAATGATTACTGCAAAGAATTTGAAAAGTTCACCTGGTGTGATCTTTCGCCACTTTTTGTAAACGGAGCGCTCCTTTGCCGTTGGTGCTCTAGCATCTCATCTTTGATTTCCGTAGGCGTTGATGTTTTTACAAAGCTCTTCTACAATTTCATCAGTAAAATAGAGCCTGAAAAAATCAAGAGACGTCATTCCTCTAGTGTCAATATCTGGGTTGATCCCTGTGAATCTGGTTCT